CTCTAGCCCGGGCAACACAGTGAGACTCTGTCTCAAAAAAAAAAAAAAAAGAAAAGAAATATATCCAGTAATGAGCAACTTAAAACTAGCTTAGATTGTTACTGTTTTAAACCTAAGTGATAAAAAAAATTGTATAATTGAAAGAACATTGAATTGAATTGTAAGAAATAGTTTCTGGTTTGGGTCCTTTCACTAAACGATTATTAGTTCTTGAGAGAGAATTGTAGGAGAATAGAAGGTAGAATTAGTAGATCAAACGATAAAGAGAAAAGGATCAAAGGGAAGCTGAGATATGGTCAAAAACTCCCTTTTGGGATTTATACCTCTGGCTGTGACAGAATAATGGTACCAGGTTAGCCCTACCACAGTAAAGAACTATAAAAACTGGACAGAATTTACAAACACTGAAAAAAGAAAAGCTACCAGGGATCTGTGAACTGAACAACTACCAGAGTTCCTACATGGTTGAGAACCTTCGTTAAAGACCCCTGGTATTCAGAAGATATCCTCTAAAATCTACGCTTTAGAAATAGGACTAATCTATTCCTAAAATAAGAGCTACTCTATACCTACCCTTACAGAGTTTAAAAATAAGCCTTAAAAAAGAAGGATGCTTGCCATATAACATTGTTTTGGAAGTTCTTTCTCATACAGAATGGCTTTAAAAATAAAAAGGAATGGATGTTTGGGGAGGCAGGGAGGAATGCCTTGAGAAGATCAAGGTGATTCAAAAGTAAATTGCTGTGTACCTGAACAAAACTTAACACTCAATTAAGGAAGACTGCAAAATCCAGACTCAACAACATAGAATTCATAATGTCAAGCATTCAATAGAAAATTACTAGACATAAAAAGAAACAGGAAAATTGGTCAATAGAAATAGACACAAAAATGACAGATAATAGAATTAGCAGACAAAGACTAAAAAAGTTGCCATAAATATATTCAAGCATTTAAAGGGGAAATAATGAACAAAATGAAGGGATAATTAAGAATTCTTACTACAGAAACGACAACCCTAAAAAAGCAATTTAACATACAAGCAATGTAGTCTCAGAGGAGAAAAAAATCGGAGAAACCAATATTTGAAGAGATAACAATGGCAAAAGTCTCAAATTCCATGAAAAACATAAATTTACCAATCCAGGAAGCTCAATGAACCCCAAGCAGGGTGAACAGAAAACCACGACACAGCACACCATAATCAAATTGCTGGAAACGAAGAGAAAATCTGTAAAACTGCCAGAGAAAAATGACATATTACCTATAGGGGAACAGTGATACAAATGACTGAGCTAGAAGGAAGTTGAGAGTCCCTTCATATCATAGCAGCAGTTTCTCTATTCCTTTATTTTGAACAACAAAGTATTTTTTCATAAAGATATATTAGGCTGAACTGCCTCAGTCAATTCTGATTTTACTTTATGGTTACTTAACGCAATCAGGAAAAAAAGGAGGCAAAGAAATATAACAGGTATTTAGTAATCTTGAGTGTACTTTACCACCATTACAAACAGGCCTTTTACTTATGGATTTATTAACTTCATTATCTGTGAGAAGTTTTGATAAATGTTGTTTTTCTAGGAGTTATTCCTTCTAATTATTGGTGTAAAATTTGTGTGCGTGTGTGTGTGTTTTTTAATTTCAGGATATTATGAGGGTACAAACATTTTGGTTACATTTTATGTCTTTGTCTCACCCTTCAAGGGAGGATTAGAGGCATGCCCTTCCCCTGTACGATGAAATTGTTTCGAATATCATCTTATGACATTTTAATGTCTGTAGGCTCAGTAATAGTATCCCCATTTTTATTCGCGATATTGGCCATTTGCCTTCTCAATCAGTTCTGCCACGGGGTTAACAATATTTTTGGTCTGTTCAAAGAACCAACTTTTGGCGTTGTTGAAACTCCCTTTTATATGTTTCTTTTCTGTTTCAATAATTTCTGATTTTATTTTTATTATACCCTTTCTTTTGATTTCTTTGGATTTCATGTGCTATTTTTTAACTTTTGATATGAATGCTTAAATCATTACTTTTCAACCTTTTAATTTATGATATATCTGTATTCGAGGCTGTCTGTGTTTGAGTCTGTCTTTGGGTCTCAGTTCTTTCATCTCTGAGTAAGAGGAGCAGACGGGGTCATTAATATCTCTTTTGGCTCTATGTTCAAATATTTTTGACTAGGTAAGAAGAAGATGGTATTCAAGGTGCTTTTAAAAGTTTAGAGGTTTAGAGATACCATACCTTATTTCCTGCCTAAAATGTCTTTAAAACAAACCTTTGTCACAAAACAACAAATGATTCATAAATGGTAAAGAGTTTTGTGCTGCTAATGTATATTCTGTGGTAATTCCGACATTGGCTAGATAAAAGTGTAGGTATATTATCTATGAAAAAATTTTATGAATTCTAAATATAATAAAAATTTCAAAGCCAAATATTTATATTTTATGGTACCCATTGCTATATTGATTGATAATAATGTAAATAAAATTATATCCATTTTAACAGAGGCCCTCAGGATCTCTATTTGACAATATTAGATACTTATTATGTAAAATTAGAAGTAAAAAGTCTCCATTTCTGTTTAAAATATACAATATTAAAGAATTGACACTGATTAGACTGACAGTCCCACTAATTTCAATGCAGTGAATTTTTCCTTTATTAAATACAGCATTAGGGCTACATTTGCCATAAAGTTTAAACTCATAAAGTAGCTTTAAGAGAAACATATGTTTTAAAGACCTAAAAATAGCAGTCTAAAGAAATGTTTAGGACATCTCTGATCTGTGGATGAACCACTTAAGGTCTTTACTTTGTTTATTTTAGATTCCTTTTAATGGATTTGTGATGTTACCAGATAAATAATCAGTCACACTCAATTTAGTTTATGGATGTCATTTGAACAGAATTAGTTACAAGAGCCATTCAAAACATGATAAGTAAAACTGTCACCAAGCATTCATTAATAAAACACACAACCAGTGTACTTTTAAGTATAGCCATCTTATGTTTTGATTATCAGATTTCATAAAACAAGCTGGGCAATTTATATATTTAGTTAAAATCAGTATGTTGTCTTAAAGGTATGAACTTAGGTAATGTAAAAGGTTAATGGATATAATTACTTTGATGTTATACATTTCAAACCGAAGAGAATATATGGCTCACATCTGTGAAGTGCATTCATTTACTTGCTTTTCTACAACGTTATATTAATTTGGCATTAAAGAGGATACTTGAATATGTTAACTTTTGTGGTTATATTTTGTCCTTGGATAAAACTACATGTCTGTATTAACATCATAATTGTCTTAGGGTTCTGAAATACTTATGTTGCCAGATTTGTTTTTTTCCATTTGCTATCTTTCATGTATGGGGATGAGAGCAAAGGTCCAATCATTAGCATGACCTATGCTCTTGGTTGCCCATTGTAAATATAGAGTTCCCAGGTCTCCTAGTATAGGCCTTTCTCTTTCGGTGGGATTTTCTTCATGTATGCTCAGCTTAGTCCAGACTGGATCATTCAGTGTTCTAGTACTCACAGTTTTGGACTTATATCCATGTGTGTCTTTATTCCTCCACCTAAAATGCACCCCATTTTTCCCGTAATCCTTTAAGGTTTGGTCCATTGTTACTTCTGCATGGTACCTTTCCTGATTTTTCACTCTGCGTATAACCGTTCCCTCCTTTGAAACT